AATGGACTAATCTAAGAACTTTTAACTTGCCAATTATCCAGAAATCCAGCATCTGAAGCAAGTTTGAGAATGTTCATCCCTTGATGCATCATCCTTGCAAGTTCGGTTCAGAAAGGCCTTATAGATTCTTGGTAATGGACCTGAACCAAAAACTTTAACCTGGTCACTCATCCGGAATATGTAGATCAAATCAAGCATCTGAAGCAAGTTCAGTAGTGTGCATCCTTAGATGTATCATCCATGCAAGTCGGGTCAAGGTACAGCAAATAGTTACTTTAGAATGATCCTGCTCCAAAAACTTTAACCTGGTCACCCATCTGGAAAACGTAGGTCAGATCCAGTATCCAAAGCTAGCCTGGTAGTGTGCATCCTTAGATGTATCATCCATGCAAGTCTGGTCAACATGGGTCTATAGTTACTTTAGAATGAACCTGTTCTATAAACTTTAACCTGGTCACTCATCTGGAAAATGTAGGTCAGATCCAGCATCTAAAGAAGGGTGGTAGTTAGCATCCTAAGATGTATCATCCATGCAAGTTTGGTCACGATAGGGCTTATAGTTACTTGGAAATGAGACCTGCCCCAAAAACTTTAACCTGCTCCAAAATCTTCAACCTGCTTTAAAAACATTAACCTGGTCATCTTTTAGCTGAAATTGCAGCATCTGAAACCTTGACTGGTACAAAGAAACACACTATAAACATCTTCCATGCAACTCTGATTTATGTAAGGCATAGAAGTGCTGAAAAAGAAAACTGCTGCAAAAACTATAACCTGGGACGCCGGAGGTATCACATAAGCTCCCCCAACTTCTTTGAGGTGAGCTAAAAATCTAAAGACACTTACAGTAAATCAGTAACAGATTCAATATTAAAAAGGAAGTTGTGTGAAAAGGGAGGGGGGGGAGGGAGGGGAGCAGGGGGCATTGATGCTGTGTATTTAATTTAAATGTATGAATTTTGTAATTAATAAATAATTTGTAAATTTATAGACTATATAATAATTGTTGTTATGTTTTATTATGCACTGATTCTATTCAACTGTGTAAATGGGGAAAATGGGGAAATGTAAATGATGTATAATTGTATGAGTAAAATGTGACATTTTCTTATATGAGGGAGTCCATACATGTAAAAATGTTTTAATTTTATCTTATCAAAATTATTTTAATTAATTATCTTGTTTTTCTTACCTATCTGATGAATACAACAAAGGTTACAGAGGTGATTGGTAGAAATACGGGTGTCAAAACTCTCTGTTGATGACCAGACAGCATACTGCATTGTATATCCGCCATTACTGATCTTAAACATGGGAGACAACTCCTGAAATCAGAGAAATTGTAGTCAAAATGAGAGTTACCTGTTACTCTTTAGGTCCGACACAATGAAATAATATCACTACATGTTACTATATAGCTTCAATTAAATTAATTAATTAACTAAGACTCTAAGCAGATAATCAATGAAAGAGAAAATAAAGATTAATGCTTAAACAAACAAGAGGCCCAAGGGCCTTAACGGTCACCTGAGTACAATACAACAATTTAGAGGATCCATAAACTGATAAATGAAGCTCTGTTGCCCAAAAGCAAGAAAATAGTATGATTTGCATCAACAAAATAATTGGTCTAGTATCTATCTGTCCCCCATTTATCACTATTACCATGCAGAATATCAACAAACTGTCTATTTTTTAACCCCATATTTTTACTTCTCACATTGGCCTCTCTTGGCCTTTGAAGAACAATTAAAAAGGATAAGTTATTTTTGTCTCAATTTTATTCATCTATTATTTCCAAGTCTACCTGGGGCCATGAATTTCACAATTTTGGAAGAGGCATTCTTCCTTATAACCATGCACTTCCTTTGTTTGAAAAATACCCAGGAGTAGAGAAGAAAATTTTGAAAAAATTTATGCATTTTCCCTATATAATCAATATAGCCCCGCCCTTACACTAGAACCCCTGATCCAGGGGCCATGAAATTCACAATTCTGGAAAAGGCAACCATGCTTGTCATAACTATGCACCAAGTTAGTTTATTTAAAATCCAAGAGCAGAGAAGATTTTCAAAGAACTAATGCAATTTTACTATATAATCAATAGAGCCCCGCCCTAACACCAGAACCCCTAACCCTGGGGCCATGAAATTCATAATTTCTAAAAAGGCAGCCATGTCCACCATAACTATGTTCTTAAATACTTTATTTAATACCCAGGAGCAGAGAAGAAGATTTTCAAAGAATTAATGCATTTTCACTATATAATCAATATAGCCCCGCCCTAACACCAGAACCCCTAACCCTGGGGCCATGAAATTCACAATTTTGGAAGAGGCACTCTTGCTCATCATAACTATGTACGTAGTTACTTTATTTAATACCCAGGAGCAGAGAAAAAGATTTTCAAAGAATTAATGCATTTTCACTATATAATCAATAGAGCCCCACCCTAACACCAGAACCCCTGACCCTGGGGCCATGAAATTCACAATTTTGGAAGAGGCACTCTTGCTCATCATAACTATGTACTTAGTTACTTTATTTAATACCCAGGAACAGAGAAGAAGATTTTCAAAGAATTAATGCATTTTCACTACACAATCAATAGAGCCCCGCCCTAACACCAGAACCCCTGACCCTTGGAACATGAAATTCACAAGTTTGGAAGTGGCACTCTTGCTCATCATAACTATGTACTTATTTAGTTTATTTTATATCCAGGAGCAGAGAAGAAGATTTTCAAAGAATTAATGCATTTTCACTATATAATCAATAGAGCCCCAACCTAACACCAGAACCGCTGACCCTTGGGCCATGAAATTCACAATTTTGGAAGAGGCACTCTTGCTCATCATAACTATGTACTTAGTTGGTTTATTTAATATCCAGGAGCAGAGGAGAAGAATTTAAAAGAAATAATGCACTTTCACTAGATGATCTATAAAGCCCCACCCTAGCACCAGAACCCCTGACCCTGGGGCCATGAATTTCACAATTTTGGTCGAGGGCTCAATGCTTATTACAATCATGCTAACAGTTTGACTGCTTGATGTCCAGGAATAAAGAAGAAGATTTTTAAAGATTGCATTAATTTTGGTGGTTTTAGCCCCACCCCTTAGGCCCCAGGGGGGCAGGGACCATGAAATTCAAAATTTTTGTTCCCCTTCAACCATAGAATGCTATATGCCAAATTTGGTTGAAATTGGTTGAGCGGTTTCAGAGAAGAAGCTAAAAATGTTCAAATGTTAACACACATTGCACGATGACAGACAAAAAACGGATAGCTATAGGTCACCTGAGTGACTCAGGTGACTTAAAAATTGAGACCAGAAAAAATACACCCGACAGTAATTAACAGTAAACATATCTACCCTGAAATACACGTAGGCTTCACATGTTAACAAACATACTACACACCATCCAGGATGTTGCACCATGCACACCTAAAAAAAAGTTCCCTTTAATTAAGTGGGACAATTCTGCTAAAGATATGATATTCTTAGCTCATGAGTCCAAAATTAATACTGTAGGCCTAAAATAAGATGCCAAAAATGAAAAAATAAAAATAAATTGTCTCTCGTTATATATACAACTACAACTGACTAAGTTCATTTTGATTGGCTGTTTCCTTTGAACATACTCACGTCTTGTAATGAAATCTGTATTCATTTCTGAAAATATAAGTGCATAACATCAAAATCACTTTTCTTAAAGTTCTCCTCAGAAGAATATTATCTATGAGTGAAGGCAATGTCTATCATAAATTGAATGTTCTAGTAGTGTGCACATCTACATGCCTTACCATACAAGTTTGGTCTAGTTAGGAATTATAGTTTCTTGGGAATGTCCAAAATAATCATCCTGAAAATAAATGTCTTATCATCCACTTAAGTCAGAAGCATCATCCATGCAACTTTTTGTACAGGTAGAGCTTATAGTTACTTGAAACTTTGGTACTTTGTAAAAGTTTTATGGGCAAGTTCATTCCCAAGTAACTATAAGCTCTACGCTTAAAGTTACTTGGGAATGAACTTGCCCATAAAACTTTTACTGGGATGTCAACACACTTATAAAGCAAAAGCTCATCTCGACTTTGTTGAGGTGAGCAAAAAATATTCAGTTTACTGCCTTTTGAACATTTGTTGTCACATTGTAGAATTGGTAGTGTTTTCTTTAAATATGATTAATTATTATGCTGAGGAGTGTCCAAGAAATGTAAAACAATGCATTCTCTGGGGGAAAAAGTGATTCTATCACACCATCTAAGTTTGTTGGTATCCCAGTCTAACCTACCAAATGAACCACTTGTAGAAATCTTTATGGATGAGGAATTAGTGTCTTATAGTCATCCTGCCTCCCAATGATGGCATCATCAGAATCTGTCTCCATTCACTGTAATTATGACAAACTATTGCATAATTTTAAGTTGAAAGGAAAGCAAATGATATTTATATGAAATAACAAGATGTGTTTGTGAAACATTGTTGTCCCCTATGGCAGTTCAAGACAAAGGTTTGGATTTTTCAAATTTAGGTTGAGGTCTACAACGTTAAAGTGAAGAGTTCAAAAAGTGTTTGTATTCAAAGAAAGGTCTTGTCACAACAAATACCATCTTCTCTAGTCAAAGGTTTCTGATCTGCTACTCTCCTTACAAACCCTTGGCATATGGTGCTGTCAAAAGATGGGAAGTACAGTCTAAGCAAAAAGTCTGAATCAGATCTGTTCATCAATTTTTAAAATCTCTTATACAGATAAAATGCAGGAATGTTTTTGAACTCAGTCAAATTAGTTTATCAGCTAAAAGACATGTTCAGGACATACATGTATATCAAAACATACAAACAAAGTGATTACAGTCTTTGTCCCTTTTAAGTCTATTTGCTTTAATGGGAGGGGATGGGTGGGTATTGATTACAATTACTCGCCCAAAACCTTCAATTAAATTACCATTACCATTACAAGGATTTTGAAATGTAATTAATTAAATTACAATTACTTTGCAAATGTAATTAATTAAATTACAAATTACATTAGGAAAAAACGTATAAAAATAAACAATGATAAATAGTCATGAACATTCATTTATATTCATATACATTTAGTAACTTTTTTTTTTACATGAAGTAAACATTGTTTAGATGTTATGAATTTTTTAAAAATTGTGTCCCCTAACCTACATCCATCAGATTTTTCTGCCACAATGAAGATATTTTACACTGGGGCATTTGTGACATGAATACTTACCGGTAAATACTGACTAATAGCAAGTTTCAGGGCTTATTATAAATATTATTGACCCTTTTTGGTCCAGGGTCCTGTACCCTTTTAATTGTAAATTTTTCATAGAAAAGTGGCAAAATTGGGAAATGTTGTTGAATTTTATTTATTTTTTGATTAAAGAGTTAAATAGTGGACTTGTTCCCTATATACACATAATATATATCTTTAAAAATGATTAAAATTTCAAAGCATGTTATTTCTATATATAAACAGCATCAAAAAATTGAATTTGGTCATCAGTTGGGAATCGTTACCTCAATTTAGGGAAAAAAAGAGAGCCAATTTTCAACTGGGACATGGTCCTTTTACAGGACCCGGATGCTGTTTTACATTAATTCATGTGTTCGTTTTTAAAGCTTTCTGATATATTTATGGAAAACAATGGGTGCATTTTGCCTTGTTTCCTGCTTTTTTATCATCCTAAGCAATATATCTCAAAATGTTATATTTGACATATTGTGTGTCAAACTACTGTCTTCCCACAAATTTTTAATATATTATAAATATTGGTGTTATAACACCAAATTATATATTACAAAAAAGATTTGTGGGAAGACATAGTCAATGTATGTGTACAAAACTACCATTAGGTATATACTAGTCAAAATGAGTGTAAAATCTCTATTTAAGTTTAGTGTCAATATGAACATGACCCTAGGGCACTAATTAGCACCTGTTAATCACTTCTAAGACAAGCTGTAGGTATGGCAAACAAAGAATTAGAAGCCATTGGACTAGATATTTTAAGTGTCAATTCATACACAACTTAATGGAAATTATTTATTTTATTTTTACATTATAAACAAAGAGATAAATATGATTAAAAAGTTTTGAAGAAAATGCTTTTTAAAGAGGAAACAGCAATTCACTAAATAAAGGAAATATATGATTAAAAAAAAATTATTATAGAACATTTTGTAAAAATAAATCAGTTAACCTTTCTTGAATAAAGTGTATGGGATTTGAAGGGGTGGAGGCTATTTCTCATTTATTAAACACAGGTGTAATTGAATGTAATTGAAAAGTAATTGTGAATTACATGCTTTTCTTGAAAGTAATTAATTAAATTACAATTACATGTAATTGAAAATTGGGTCAATTACACATTACTTTCAATTACATCAAAATTCGTAATTAATTACAGTCAATTACCATTACACATTACCATTACCCCATCCCTGGTACTAAATAGCATCTTTTGATTTTATCAAATGACAACTATGTTAACCTACCTTTTCTCATCTTTGCTCCAGCCTTTTCTTTCTACTTGTTTTACCTGGAAAAATGCACAAAATTTTCATTTTAGGTGTTGTACTACATTTTAACATCTTAGAATTTTATGAAATGGGATTTTTTCTCAGTTTTCATCAAAAGAGCAGATCTGAAAAAAATAATGACCTTCTTAAGAGATATATGAACATGTATATGCCTATTATGAAAGCATTTCCATATTCTAAGAAAATAAACCACCAAATACATGTACTTGTTTTTAACAAAAAAATACTGTATAAGTGGAAATCTTAGTGAGATGCCAATTTAGAAATTTACCCCCAAATTTTTAGCAAGAAGTAATTTAAGTGATTTTGTAATATCAAGAGAGAAAGCTATAACAGCCAAAATAGAATATATTGTCAGCAATATTCAATTTTAGCAATCTCAGTTCCCTCACTAAAAATGCCAAAATTGAATCCTCCCTAAAAATTCTGCTTCTATGGTAATTTGAATTCTCAGAAATTATACTCATTTACAGAATTGCAAATGATTTCTTGCAATGACAAAGAATTTAAAATAAGTATAGACGATTATAAAATACAATAAAAATCTTTGAGTATATCTGGTGCAGTTTTTTGGGGTTATCAAACACATTTTTAAAATTGTTCTTTCATTTGCAAAAATTCCAGTGAAGTAAAATATGAAACTAGGAACATTACTTCATCAACCAAACAATAATAAAAACAAAGGGGGAGTGTCGATAAGGCGGTTTTTCGGCCCCTCACGAAATTTTCTGAAATTTTTTATATTTTGTAGAAAAACTCCTTATCATCCAAAAAATATGAAAATAATTTATGTGAAGCATTTTCCGGTCACGTGATAATTGAAAATTTAAGTATACCCCCTTTCGTATATTTTTGGAGTAGACATTTTTATAGGGGGAAAGTGGATTTTTTAAATCGTCAAAATAATAAATGAAATAGGGTAAATATGAATAAAGACATAAATTAACCAATTGCAACAATTTTTTTTACGGAAAATGGTATTTACCTTACGCGAATGTTTTTTTTTTAAGGTGCGATATTTTTCTGGTGTGTTAAATGTTACTTTTCTTTAAAAGAGGATGAATTGATCTTATAAAACGTAAACATATATAGAAAGTTTTAACATCATAATTAATCGACAGTTTATATGTAAACTTTACAATCAACATTTAACATTTTCCCATACGAAAAATGCAAATGAAAAGATATATGGACATGAGATAGGTAAACGTAAAAACGTCATATACAGGGATATGCAATACATTTTCATCAATGAGATTATACAACTACATATTTTATAAAAATATACCTTAATATCATAAAATTGAAATTAAAGAGGCTGGGGGGTTGTGGCCATTTTTAGACTATATTGATCTCCTTTAGAAGAAGAGCTCCATATGAAGATATAGAAAATGATCAAATTTTAAAACTAAATTTTTTGAAATTTTTCTTTGCCGAATGATAGTTGACAGCTTAAGATATCATATCTAAAAATTAAAGTTAAATCTGGTGGTTAATTTGTGGTTAATTTGTTGACCCCCCAGCCTCCTTAAATAAAATGTTTTGAAGTAAAAAGATTAAAAAATAAATGCAACTTTATATACATACATGAATAAGAAGTTTATTTAAAAGAATCATATTGCTATGTAAGCCGGTATGTTGTAGGTGCAAGGTAAGAAAAATATTTTATCTGGCAGCCACCACATAATTATTTGGCGGCCACTAGAAAAATATATCTGCCAAATAGCTTTCCTGCGACCAAAACATAAATAACTGGCAGCAACCAGAAACTTATTTGGCGGCCAACACATAAATAACTAGAAGCAGGCAAGTAAGTTTCTTGCAGTGTAGACATGTAATCTTGCTAATAAGGCATGAAACTCCCAGATTTGACTACAAACAGAAGTTGTAAATGTCGTTAAAGGCAGAGATTTTAAGCACCGCCTTTAAAAATACCTGGTCTGTGTACCTCTGTCAATCAAGTGCATTAAGGTACATCATTGGGTGCTACAACTTGATTGGCAAACCACTAAATTTTTTCTGGCAGCCGCCAGATATTTCAATGGCAGGCCAGATAATTTTTTTTTTTTACCTAGCACCTACCGGCTTCAGTATATTGCAATGTATTTGATAATATGAATAATATTAATTACAGTCAAAAATATTTTATCATGATACGTAATATGTGAATAGCCAAATGATGGAAAAATCTATAATACATTGAGTGTTTCCTTTTCATTATGAAACTTAGAAGTATTTGCCTGCATCATGTTTTCAGCATAACTGAGAGAATCCCAGCCAGGACTAATTTCCTATCGCTTCCCCGCTCTCCATAGATACTTAAGTTGCTTCACCAACTCTAGTCACTCCTCATTTAGAGAGTTTTAGAATTCATTATAAATGATTTGCTAGACCAAAGCGCAGTTCGAAATACACGTGTAAATGCCAAAGATACGTGTTTAATCCTTAATCAGGCAGACATATGCGCCTAGACATCCAGACTTAAAACAATCCACGTTCCCTATATGTCAATCACACGGCAATACATGGGCACTTCCCTAGCATGTTGGAGCGTGAATTTCTATACAAGAAAGTCAAAAATATTTGTATTTTTGACTTTCTTGTAACTATGCATGATAAATAACGTTAAGGAATGGACTTGCTTTAAAACTTTTTTGTTCAGTCAGTCAGAAAATGTAAGAAAGTTCCAGCATCTGAACCATGTCTGGTAGTGTGCAATCCTAGATGCATCATCAGTGCAAGTTTGGTTATGATAGGGCTTATAGTCACATAAGAATGAGACACACTTCAAAATCTTTAACCTGCTCTATCATTAAGGAAATGTAGGTCATATCCAGCATCTAAAGCAAATCTAATAGTGTGCATCTGTAGATGCATCATGAAGCAAGTCTGATCAACAAGTGCTTACAGCTGCTCTGCTCCAAAAACTTAAACCTGCTTTTAAAACATTTACCTGGACATTCTTTGGCTAAAATCCAGCATTTGAAACCTTACTGGTGACAAGGAAACATGCTAGATCAGGTGACTGTGATTAATATAGGGCATAGATATACTTGAAAAAAAATCTGCTTCAAAAACTTTTACCTGGAAAACCGATGCTGATGGTATTACAAAAGCTCCCCCAACTTCGAGGAGGTGAGCTAAAAATGTGACGTTAGCGTTAACGTTATATGTTGGCGACAAAAATGGTATCAAAATGAAGACAGGATACGATAATGTTTTCTACTGTTAATACATGTATAATTGAGAATCTTCTTTAATTCAACAAAATATGCTACTTTTGGCTTAGTATTTTAACACAGAGTCAGATCAAGAAACCAGGAGTTTCTACTTTTAGATATGCATGTTATGCAATTTTCAATTTTTGGATATGAAGTGCACAGGCGACACTCATCATATTTCAAGAAATGAGTGTGCAGAGTATATCTAATTACTGAACAAATTTAGGTGAGTGTCCCTCATGCACTTCATATTCTAAACATCGATTTATAAATGCCACCCTCTTATATTTTCTCATGAGCCTAATGTTAACGAATCTGAGTGTACATCTAAGTTTGTATCAGCTACAGTGTTAATTCTTTTCATATTAACTTTTAAAATATAAATAACAAAAGTTAACATATTTATCTTGAATTCTAAACTAGTTTTGAAAAAATAAATTGAAATTTATTTTTAAGAAAAAGTGGGCCGCTGAGCAGCCTTATCGAAACTCCCCCTTTAACATCAAAATTTCAAACTCAGAATGTCTGGATCTAAACTGACTTGTTTTGTTCCAGCTTGACTGGGTTAGGTTTTAACTAGAGTGGGTTTGATTCTAAACTGACTTATTCATGTTCCTGTCTAACTGGATTAGATTTCTACCTGACTGGGTTAGGCTCTAAACTGACAGTTTTATGATTCTGCCTGACTGGGTTAGGTTCTGAACTGACTTGTTCATGTTTCTGCCTGACTAGGTTACATTTTTTCCTGACTGGGATAGGTTCTAAACCGACTGTTTTATGTTTATATCTGACTGGGTAGGTTCTAAACTGACTGTTTCATGATTCTGCCCGACTGGGTTAGGTTCTAAACTGACTGTTTTATGTTTCTGCCTGACTGGGTTAGGTTCTAAACTGACAGTTTCGTGATTCTGCCTGACTGGGTTAGGTTCTTCACTGACTTGTTTATGTTCCTGCCTGACTGGGTTAATTTCTTAACTGACTTGTTCATATTACTGCCTGACTGGGTTATGTTTCTACCTGACTGGGTTAAGTTCTGAACCGACTGTTTTATGCTTCTGAATGGGTTATGTTTCTACCTGACAGGGTTGGGTTTTAAGCTGACTGTTTTCTGATTCTGTCTGACTGGGTCAGGTTCTAAACTGACTTGTTCATGTTCTTGCCTGACTGGGTTAGGTTTCCACCTGGCTGGGTTAAGTTTCTTCCTGACTGGGTTAGGTTCTAAACTGACTGTTTTATGATTCTGCCTGAGTGGGTTAGGTTCTAAACTGACTGTTTTATGTTCCTGCCTGAATGGGTTAGGTTCTAAACTGACAGTTTCGCGATTCTGCCTGACTGGGCTAGGTTCTTAACTGACTTGTTTATGTTCCTGCCTGACTGGGTTAATTTCTTAACCGACTTGTTCATATTACTGCCTGACTGGGTTATGTTTCTACCTGACTGGGTTAAGTTCTGAACCGACTGTTTTATGTTTCTGACTGGGCTATGTTTCTACCTGACAGGGTTGGGTTTTAAGCTGTTTTCTGATTCTGTCTGACTGGGTCAGGTTCTAAACTGACTTGTTCATGTTCTTGCCCGACTGGGTTAGGGTTCCACCTGGCTGGGTTAAGTTTCTTCCTGACTGGGTTAGGTTCTAAACTGATAGTTTTATGATTCTGCCTGAGTGGGTTAAGTTTCTACCTGACTTGCTTGGGTTCTAAACTGGCTATTTTATGATTCTGCCTGACTGGGTTAGGTTTTAAACTGACTTGTTCATGTTCCTGCCTGACTGGGTTAGGTTTCTACCTGACTGGGTAAGGTTTTAAGCTTACTGTTTTACAACTCTATGTGACTGGGTTAGGTTCTTAACTGACTGTTTTATGATTCAGCCTGACTGGCTTGGTTTCTTAACTGAATTGTTCATGTTCCTGCCTGACCGGCTCAAGTTCTAAACTGATTTGTTCATACTACTGCCTGACTGGGTTATGTTTCTGGGTTAGGTTCTGAACTGAATATTTTATATTCCTGCCTGACTGGGTTAGGTTTCTACCTGACTGGGTTAGGTTCTGAACTCACAGTTTTATGTTCCTGTCTGACTGAATTAGGTTTCTTCCTGACTGGGTTAGATTTTAAGCTTACTGTTTCACAATTCTACCTGACTTTGTTAGGTTCTTAACTGACTTATGTTCCTGCCTATCTGGGTTAGGTTCTAAACTGACTGTTTTATTATTCAGTCTGACTGGCTTAGGTTCTTAACTGACTTGTTCATATTCCTGCCCGACTGGGTTAAGTTCTAAACTGACTTGTTCATATTACTGCCTGACTGGGTTATCTTTCTACCTGACTGGTTAAGTTCTGAACTGACTGTTTTATGTTTCTGACTGGGTTATGTTTCTGCCTGACTGAGTTGGGTTCTAAACTGACTTGTTCATTTTCCTGCCTGACTGGATTAGGTTCTAAACTGACTTGTTCATGTTTCTGTCTGACCTGGTTATGTTTAATCCTGACTGGGTTAGGTTCTAAACTGCCAGATTTATGTTTCTACCTGACTGGTTTATTTTTCTACCTGACTGGGTTAGGTTCTTAACTGAATGTTATACAATTCTGCCTGACTGGGTTAGGTTCTAAATTGACTTGTTCATGTTTCTGTCTGACTGGGATAGGTTTCTTCCTGACTGGGTTGGGTTCAAAACTGATAGTTTTATGATTCTGCCTGACAGGGTAATATTTCTGCCTGACTGGGTTTGGTTCTAAACTGACAGTTTCATGATTCAGCTTGACTGGATTAGGTTCTTAACTGACTTGTTCATGTCCCTGCCTGACTGGGTTAAGTTCTAAACTGTCTTGTACATATTACTGCCTGACTGGGTTATGTTTCTACCTAACTGGGTTAAGTTCTGAACTGACTGTTTCAGTTTCTGACAGGATTATGTTTCTACCTGACTGGGTTGGGTTTTAAACTGACTGTTTTCTGACTCTGTCTGACTGGATTAGTTTCTAAACAGACTTGTTCATGTTTCTGTCTGACTGGGTTATGTTTAATCCTGACTGGGTTAGGTTCTAAACTGCCAGTTTTATGTTTCTACCTGACTGGCTTAGGTTTCTACCTGACTGGGTAAGGTTTCTACCTGACTGAGTAAGGTTTCTACCTGACTGGGTTAGGTTCTTAACTAAATGTTAAGCAATTCTGCCTAGGTTCTAAATCGACTTGTTCATGTTTCTGAACTGACTGTTTTATGATTATACCTAACTGGGTTAGGATGTGAACTGACTGTTTTATGTCCCTGATTGACTGGGTTACTTTCCTGAATGGGATAGGTTCTAAAATGAATGTTTTATGATACGCTCCGACTGCGTTAGGTTCTAAACTGACTAATTCATGTTTCTTACTGACTAGGTAATGTATCTTCCTGACTGGATTAGGTTTTGAACTGAGTGTTTGATGTTTCTACCTGACTGGGTTAGGTTCTAATATGACTGTTTTATGTTCATGCCTGACTGAGTTAAGTTTCTATCCGACTGGGTTAGGTTCTTAACTAACAGTTTTATGATTCTGCCTGACTGGGTAATGTTCTAAACTGACTTATTCAATTTTTAGCCTGAGTGGGTTTTGTTTCTGCATTACTGATTTGGATCTGAACTGACTATTTCACGTTCCTGCCTAAGTGGGTTAGGTTTCTGCCTGACTGGGTTAGGTTCTAAACTGACTGAAGGAAGTCACTTTAAGTCTGGGTAAGCTAGGTTCTAAACTGACTTTATCATGTCCTTCCCTGACTGGAATATATGTTGTTCTGAACAAGATTCCTAAATGACCACACTCAAGTTTTTGCTTATTCTTAATTATTTCCACTTGAAAGGGGGCATGATCCTTCATTTAAATCTTTATACAAGGATACTCTGTGCCAAATTTGGTTAAAATTAGTTTCAGAGAAGAAGAGGAAATTGTGAAAAGTTAACCAAAAAATCAATGATGTAAATGACTACATGCTACAATCTAATTGAAATTAAATCCTTTGATCAGCTCACATATGATCGCTACACAAAGTGTGTAGGGATCATATGTGAGCAGATCAAAGGATCTAATTTTAATTAGATTGCACATGCAATGGACAAATTTGGATCAAAAAAGCTCACCTGTGCCACTGTGCAAAAGGAGGAAGGGGTATTGATGCTGTGTATGTAGTTTATATATGTTCTATTTTTATTACATATTAAAATTATTTTCAACAATTACCTTGTTATTTTACCTGTCCAAAGAACATGACAAAAAAGATAACAGGGTGATTGGTAGAAATATAGGCATACAGGTGTCAAAACTCCCTTTTGGTGAACAGTCTGCATCACTCATTGTTTATCCACCATTAGTGATCTTTAACAGAGGAGACTATGTAGGTTTCACATGTTGACAGTCTACACACCATTGAGTAAACTACATCATTTCCAACTAAAAGAAATCTTTTTTATTAACAATAAATGGATTGAAATATGCTGCTCAAAATAACTTCCTCATTCAATTTAAAAAAAAATCTTATTGAAAATACCAGATCATAAGTTTAGTTTAAGTACACTTCATACTTTCTTGGACGTTAACAAACCTTGATGAAAATGGCAGATAGGCAAGTTCAATTGCTGGTGATCAGACACAAGAAGCTCAGGCAGGTCCAATTGCTGGTGACCAGATACACTTAGTGGTTTGGATTGTGCTGACCGGGATGTCGGCATGGGTGGATTAGAGCAGCTTACAAGCTATGCAGGAGTCCAAGTTTGATTCCCTGTCAATCCTTTCCAGTTATAATATTAAATTAACATATGAAAAAGCATAGATATTAGCGAGCGCAGCGAGCAGCGCAAAGCGCCGCTCATCACTGGGAGCTCTAAAAGCAATGCCTGGGCGAAGAGAAAATTCTGACTTTGCAAATTGATCCAAATGAATTTTTTTCCACAGTTACCTGTGATCCCATAATGCTTTGCGAATTGCTTCTCCCCACAAACAACGTTCTCGCAGTAGCAAGAAGTTCCAAAAAAAATATACACCCACGTTGATTTGATGGATATATAGCAGACAAATAGTAGATTAAAACTTCTTTATTAAAATAAGCCCTGTTCAGACTTTGTTTTGGTAATGCTACTTACAAGCGACGTTATATGACGTCAGAGTCTACACGTACTAAAAGTCTCGTGCAGTTTGATAACTTTGAAGAGCCAGATCTAAATTAAAACTGAATATAGGTATCTGCGCTCACCCTTACGGTTGCACCGTCAACATATTAAAAATATACAAGACATTGTACGTT